AGTCTGTATTTTGGGGCAAACTCTGGTTTGCCAGGAATTGGCTGGTCTCCCAGCTGCTGGCCACAACACTGCAGCTGCAAAATGGTTCCTCCCTCTGTCCTTCACACACAGTCAGGAAAGATGGGGCTTCTTTCCCACACAAGGATGTTGTGCAGAATGCCTTTCAGTTTAGTCACACATTCATGCAGTCTCTTTGATCTCTAAATTCTCCATACACTGACACACCTCAGGTCTCCTAAAATTGTGTGTTCCTTTAATTCCCTTACCCTTCCATTTTGCTGGTGGGGGGACTGCTTTGCCTGGTACCTCCTGCAGCAGTGGTAGTGCTGGGGATTTGTTCCTTACTTTTTGATATCCAATCTCCTGAGTCCCCAATCTGCTTTGAATGTCTAGTATTAAATCCCAATAAAGTCCTCCCCGTCCTTTTTTTTTTTTTTTTCACCCACGTTGCTGAGAAGCTGCCTGTCTGCTTTCTGGGTTTCGTACCATGGAGCAACCATGAAAGTGACCTTCTCTATTTCTTTTTTTTTTTTTTCCATCTAACAACAAACCCTCTCTTGATGCCACTTTCTTCTGTTGGTCCCAATTAGCCTGTCTTTCTAGCAATAATCCTTGAGAGATATGTCATCTTATACTTTCCAATTCCTCTACTCCCTTTTCTCTTCAACCTAATCTATCCAGGAATTTATTTCTATAAGTCCATAAAAATTGTTTTTGTCAAGCTCATCAATAACCATGCCATTGATACATCTTAAGATTTGCAGTCTCCATATTAATGATAGCATTTTATAGTAATTTTTTTTCAACTTTGCTGAGAGCCACAGCTGAGTCGGAATGGCCCCTGGCATTTTGCCAATAGTATTGATTGACAGGCGAGGCATTACTATCTGCCTTGGCTGCTACTTTGCAGTTCTCACGCTACTTTGGAGTTCTCTGGGGATTCCCGAAGAGTTCCCATTGGTTGGGGAAGTGAAGGAGGAAGGATTTCTGGAGGATATTTCCGGCTGCTGGTTCCTGGACGAGCCGCGTGGCGTTCAGGAGGAGTCCCCTGAGCGTGTGTGGAGCGTGCTGGTGGAGTTCAGAAATAAAGTTTGTTCCTGCTTCAGTGGCTCGTGATTTGTGCCCAGCCAGACTGCGGCACAACTTTGTGAACTTCTCTATTTCTATTTCACCATCTTGGAAAATTTTCTCAACAATTCCATTCTCAATAGCCTCAAAAATAATAAATAAATAAATAAATAAAATACTTGGGAATAAATCTATAAAGATGAAAAACCTATACAATGAAAATTATAGAATACTTAAGAAAGAAATTGAAGACGACCCCAAAAGAAGGGAAAACCTCCCATGTTCTTGGATAGGCAGAATTAATACTGTCAGAATGGCCATACTACCAAAGCAATCTAAAGATTCAATAAAATCCCCATCAAAATACCAATGACGTTCTTCTCAGAACTAGAAAAACAGTCCTAAGATTCATTTGGGAAAAATAAAAGACCCAGAATAGACAAAACAACTAAGCCAAAAAAAGCAAAATCACAATGAACAACTTGAAAATATACTCAGAGCTATAATAACAAAGACTGTATGGTACTGGCATAAAAACACATACATAGAACAATGAAACAGAGTATAACACACAGAGACAAACCCACATAGGTAGGGTAACATGATCCTTAACAACAAATGCCAAAAACATACATTGGCAAAAAGAGCCTTTTTAACAAGTGGTGCACAGAAAACTGATTATTCATGTGTCAAAGAATGAGCTAGATCCCTGTCTCTCACCCCTCCCTAAAGTCAATTCAAAATGTATCAAAGATCTAGGAATTAGACCAGAAACTTTTCAATTCCTAGAAGAAAGCATACGGCCAATACTCCAACACAGGCACTGGCAACAACTTCCTCAACAGAACTTCTAAAGCTCAGGAAATCATATCAAAAATTAATAAGTGGCTAGGGAAGAATAGAAGTATTTTGGATGAGCAGAGAGTAAAAGGAGGGAAGGAAATATGGAAGCAGGTGTGATAGTAGAATGAATCAGACATTATTTCCCTATGTTCATATATTATTACACGGCCAATGTAACTCTACATCATGTAGAACCAGAAGAATGAGAAGCTATACTCCATTTATGTATGATGTGTCAAAATGCATTCTATTGTCATGCATAACTAATTAGAACAAATAAAATATAGGAAAAAATAATTAACAAATGGAATCCCATAAATTAAAAAGCTCTACACAGCAAAGGAAACTATTAAGAATAGTTAATATTCTTAAGAGAGAATTCTGAAGAGAAAACCTATGGAACAGGAGGAAATATTTGCTAGCTACTCTTCTGACAAGGATTAATATCCAGAATACATAAAGAACTCAAAAAAACTGAACACAAAAAGAAACCAAATAATCCAATTAATAAATGGGCAAATGAAATAAACAGACATTTCTCAAAAGGAGAAATACAAATGGCCAACAAATATATGAAAAAATATTCAACATATTTAGCAATTATGGAAACACAAATCAAAACTATACTGAGATTTCATGTCATGCCAATCAGAATAGCAGTCATCAAGAATACAAACAATAATAAATTCTTGAAGGGATATAGGGAAAAGGAGCACTTTTATACTGTTGAGAGGACTGCAAATTAGTACAACCAGTACAGAAATCAGTATATAAAGGTTCCTCAAAACACTAAGAGTAAAACTACCTTATGATCCAGCTATACCACTCCTTGGTATTTAACATAAAGAATTAAAGTCATACTATATTGATACATGTATACCCATGTTTATACCAGAACAATTCATAATAGCCAAATTATGGAACCAGTTTAGGTGTTCACCAAGAGATGAATGGCTAAAGAAAACATGGTATATATACAAAATTGAGTTTTATTCAGTCATATAGAAGAATGAGCCAAGCACAGGGGCACACGTCTGTAATCTCAGCAGCTCAAGAGGCTGAGGCAAGAGGATCATGAGTGCAAAGCAAGCCTCAGCAAAAGTGAGGTGCTAAGCAACTCAGTGAGACCCTGTCTCTAAATAAAATACAAAATAGATCTGGGGATGTGGCTCAGTGGCCAAGTGCCCCTGAGTTCAATCCCTGGTACCCCCCCCCAAAAAAAAGAAGAATGAAATTATGTCATTTGCAGGGAAATGGATGGAACTTGAGAACATTATGGTTAAGCTAAGTAAGCCAAACTCAAAAGCTAAGAGTCATATCTTTTCATTCATATGTGGAAGATAGAGAGGAAAATAAGAGAAATGTGGAAAGGGTGGATCTCATGAAAATCTAAGGGAGATCAGAAGAGAAAGTGGTGTCAGGTAATAGGTAAATACTATGGAACAATCAAATTAGACTGTTATATTGGGTGCCTGGATGATTATGTAACAACAAATCCCACTATTGTATATATTAACAATGCACCAATAAAAATATGGAAAAAACAAATATTTGGAATTCAGAGAAGGGAAAAATCACAGTGGAATAGAATGGTTAGAGAAGGAGTTATAAAAGAGGTAAAATCTAAGTAGAACTTTAAGCAATAAGTTTTAAGAGGGTAGAAAAGTTGGAAAGACCCACCATGTTCATAGCAGCTTTATTCACAATATCTAAGAATAAGATAGAGAACAATAAGATAGAGAACAATCTAAATGTCTATCAACAGATGAATGGGCAAAGAAAACATGGTATATACATATAATGGGATATTATTCATCCTCAAAAAGAGGGAAGTCCTGCATGGACAACAATGTAGATGAACCTAGAAGACATGCCAAGTGAAATAAGCTAGTCACTGAAGAACAAATACTGCATAATTCTACTTATATGAGGTATCTAAACTAAACACACAGAAGCAGGAACTAGAAGGAGGGGAAAATGGATAAAAGTTATGTTATTCATCTACAAGATGAATAAGTTTTAGAGACGTACTGTACAACATACAGTAGGGCCTATAGTTAAGAAAACTATATTGTGCACTCTAAAATATGTCAAGAACCAGGTACCATGGAGCACACCTGAAATCCTAGTGACTCAGGAGGTTGAGGAAAGAAGATGGAAAGTTGAAGGTCAGCCTCAGCAGCTTAGCAAGACCTTGTCTCAAAAGTAAAATTTTAAAAAGGGCTGGAGAGTGACTCAGTAGTTAAGCACCCCTGGATTCAATTCCCAGTACCACAAAATATGTTTAAATATATTAAGATAGACCTCATGCTAAGTTAATTACAAAAATAAAAAAACACCCCACAGAATAACACAAGGAAATTTTGGGAGGTGATGGATATGTTTACTGCCTTGTTTGTAATGATGGTATCATGAGTATGTATACACTAAATATGTGTTACTTTTTGTACTGATATACTTTTTGTACTTATTTTCTACCTCAATAATCCTTTAAAAAGTCCAATATGAAATACACTTAGCATACATGTTTCTTTATTTCAACAATAATAATAATTCATGATCAATAGACATCTTCTGCATACAAAATATGTACTTAATATTTATTATTACATTTAAATTTTATTAAACTAATGTTGACATCATAAATCACATTTTACAAATGAAAATATTAAATGTAAGTAACAGAGGGAATTTAAACAGATGTATTCTTAGTCACTATACTAACATCTTCTGCAGGATCTCCTTGCCCTAGAATTTTTCGTATGAGTTTTTCTGTAGCATGTTACATGAGGGTTTTTGTTTGTTGTTCATTTTTGCTGTACTCTGGATGCAAGCATGTTATAGCTTTTTATCGGCACTCTGGTTGTTCTTCATATAGGTACAGTCATGACCAACATTATTTGTCAGCTGCAGTTATTGCCTCAACAACTGTAATGACTAGAAGAAATTAATTTTATACTAATTTCCAATTTTCTTGTAATTAAAATATGATTCATAGAATTTATTAGGATAATTATCAACTTTCCCAAAAACATACAGCAAAATGAAACCAACTCCAACTGATTGCAACAGTCATTATTACTGTATCAATGCACAGTAGCTCACATAAAGTGAGAGAAAAAATTGGAAAGGTAAGTTGAAATGTTAATTTAACTGTCTAATTACAGAGAATGAATTTTACATGATAGCCTTAGGATCCTTAAAAAGTTTGTGAGTAGGGCAGCAACGTGCTGAAACCAGTATTTAAGAAAACTTTGCTGTTGGTATGCAAGATATCGGAAGAGAAAAATAAATACCAGGTAAACATCTGAAAATGAAGAATACAGGAGTAAGCATGAAGGACTTTTGAAGATAAGAAGAAGCAATATCAACTATGAATTGGATATTTTGCTTAAGAGCAAAGTAGAACATATGAATCCTACCAAAACAACTTTATCACTATTCCATAATCATGCTCATAACTTGTAAAAGATACACATACCATCATTCCAGTCTCATAGATTCAGCATCATTTTCCATACAGAGGAAATGCCTATCATTGGGTCTTTCCTTTAGCAATTCTTGGAGTTCATGAAGCTAACTATAGCATACCACCTCCTCCAAAACACACACACACACACACACACACACACACACTTCAGTGTCCTTGTGGCTCCATGTTTCAAGCAGTTTCTCCCACAAAAAGGACAGTCAACACATTTATTAAGCATCCACTGTTTGGCAACTGTTACATATTCATCATCTCAGTGAATTTTCAAGACAAGCCTGTGGCTATAAGTTATTAGCATTATATTATGAAAAAAGAAACCATGGCTCATAGAGACTAAGGGACTTGATCAAGCAACAGAGTTTGGGGCGAGTGGGGAGAATAACACTTTTATTTCAATAATATCTGACTGTTTACAAAACACACTGATATTATTTCTTTGCATCCTAAAGGTAATTTTCTTATAAGTGAGAGAAAGGGTTTTCCAAGGACAGCTTATTAGATAAACATTATTTGAAGCTATTAGACCTGTACTTGGTTATGGAGATGTCTTTCTCCCAAAATACCAGTTTCCTCCATATTCCCTATAATTGGCAAGATCTCTACTTCCCTAGAGTGTACTGAGTCATCCCTTCTTCAGAAACTATTCCTTCTGTGCTTAACCCTACCATGTGTTAAATCACACCTTTGGAAAGACTAAGAGGGGCAGAGATGTAACAAAAGCAGATGATTTTCTATCTATAGCTACAATATTTTTATCTATTCATGGAGAAAAACCCATCCATATTGATGTTAACCTTTCAAGTGACCCAAATTTGCCTTATTAATCTGGCTTGATACCAATGCCTAGAAATGGATTTATCTAAAGAGTGAAGTGAGAGTTGTGCCCATTTATCTGATTGGTTCATGGAGAATCTTCTGAATCTTGCTCCCCTCCCCACAAAGAATATGCACTCAAAGCCTTACCCAAAGTGATTATTGCAGAAGGTCGAATTAAAATGTCTTACAAAAGCTTGATTTTCTCTAATCAGTTATCTTTGGATATGAAAATACCTAGAAAATTCTGTGGGGAAAAAACACAACACTTTCATTATCCATCTAATATTTTCACCTTCTCTTTCAAACCCAGAAAGATACTTTAATGTTTACCTCTAGAGTGAATGTCTGTTAGAGGGAAGGAAAGGAGTTACTTTTACCACAATAAACCTGAGTTTGAAACTCCTGAGATTGCTGGCACTGGGTCACTAGCTTTATCTACAGATAAATACTTGCACAAAACAGATAATGGCTTGTTTTGCAACTATTTTACGTATATTTCCCTCAACTCACCAAAATGATTGTCTTTAGAACCTATGTCCGTTTTTCCCTTGCTGTTTTCCCTGTAATTCAGTTCTCTGAATAAACACAAGGGTTGAGTTACAATTAAAAATAATGAAACCCTACAGGGTCAATGTCCTTGCATGCAATAAAAGGGTGTGGGCTAATTACAGGAGCAGAGATTTTTTTTTCCTGCATTTTGCTTCACTTTGATTGGTGGACCACCACTTTAAATAAAGGTTTCTGATCTTCCCTGAATGAGAGGTACAGAGCAAGTCCTAGGCACAGTCCAGAAAAAAAATTTAATCTTCTTTCCTTAGAACTATCTTGCTTAGCATCAACAGACCCTGAGAACACAGTGAATGTCAGCATCTAAGGTAAAATGTGATTTTATGGTTTCCATATATTTCCTGTAAGTTCTTTTTTCCTATCTTCGGGCAACCTTTATAAAGAAGATTTATCTTCATTTGTCACTAGATGCTGAATAATAGCTTATTATAATCCATTAGCATGTTTCAGAGAAGACATAACTAATAACCATTCAGCTAAGCAAAAAAAAGACTTAACTATAGACCTTATATTTTTACTATCTGTGATTATTAGTGACAGTACCTAATTTAGAAAATTATTAGGAGATAAGCAAATTTATTTATTATTCAGATCTCCACTTATGTAAGAGCAAAGAGCCTTTTGAGCTTACAGAATAAATTTAGAAAGATAGTTCATTTTAGGAGGAAAAACTGAATTGGGAGACATATATTCTACTAAAGCCAAAAGAAATTAAAATATTCCATTTACTCTAATTTGACAAAGATAAGTTTTGGCATACTTATGTAGATAATCTAAACATCAAATGATATATCCCATACATCTGCAAATAAAGGTTTATTGAAATTGCATTGTAAATGTATTTCAAAATTTTTCCCAAAGTTTAAGAAAACTATAGTTTTCTGTTAATAGTACTTGATAGACCAAGATTTCACATACTAGAAGGGATTTATTTATAATTTGTTTTATGAAACGCAGCACAGAATTTAAAGAATATCCTTATAGGTCATTCCTAAATTGTCATTTAGATTGTAACTACATAATAAAGTGTTTAGATATTTTTAATTGCTTGCCAATTCATTCCAGGAACAACTAAATTACAAATCTTTTTGGATATTTTTTTAAAACTTTATTATTTTGGAAGAGCATAGATTCAGATTCACTTTTTTAAATGTCTTTTAGCCATGATGTAAAAATTTACCTGATTTAATTCTCCACCAATTGTGTTTTAGATTTCATTTTTCAAAATGAAAGACTTGATACTGATCCTGTGCCTCCTGGAAATGAGTTTTGCAGTGCCGGTAAGTTTATCTTCTAGAGTATACCCTACATGGGTTCCTGATAGTTTGATATCACTGAAATGACATTGGCTAAGAGTCCACTCATGAACTCATTTGATTTAATTTATTGGTATAGATTCTACTGAATCAAAGTCATGCAGCTCACATTTCAGCCTTATTATCAAAATGCAATAAGTCCGTCACATATTTTTTCTATTCCAAACAATATTTAAAATATCCCAAAGACAATTTCTAAGTTTTATTTCATTCATTTGAAGTTAAAAGACTTAGGGGGCATCCACAATACCATGGCACAATTTTGTTATTAACTCCTTGCTACATCATTATGAAATTTAATGGAAAGAGAAAATTTCTCTGAAAAAAGTAAAGTATACTTCTTCATTTTAAAAAGGACAATATTGGCCAAATTACTTTGGTTACAAAACTAAGCTAGGTAATTCTAGTTAAAGTTAGTAATTAAATAACAAATTTACCTTTTAGGGGTGAAATTGTGTGACAGAGAGCTGCAATTTCTCAAAACAGGTCATGGCAATGGGGCTAATTACATGTCATCCGATCCACACTATCATATAGGGTAAGGATCTCATACAAACATGATCTCTTGGAGCACTAAACTACTTCAGTTAAGCATGCACTTCTGATATGTCAAAGACTTTATTCAGTTGCTATATTCATTAGCAATTACACACAGACTGCATGTAATTACATGCACATACCATGCATCCAGCTATGAGGTAGGCACTGGAAACATGAAAATACATTAAGCCATGATCTCTTATCTTGAGGAGCTCATATTTGGCCTCAAATGAGCTTCAGAATATTTTAATTCCTTGAGAGAAAAGGTTATAACTATTTGAGTTTTTTAAATGTTTTAAAGAGGATGAAAACTAATTATAAGAATGAAAATTTTAATTTCCACAATAAAAGTAGAATTTCTGTCCTATCATGCAAGATGAATTTTAAATGAAAGAAAAATTGAGGTTGCCACCCTAACTTAACTTTATATGGTACCAACATTAGGGTCTACTTCAACTATCTATTACATTGATACTATGAACCTTATCTGATCTATATCAATCAGGCCCACTCTGAGGAACATGACAATTCCTTACAATTGTCCGTCAAATCAGATATTCATCTCCTTTTAATTCCTCATTGAAAATATATTTTACTTACATTTATGTAAATATTGTTCCTTAATTCATGCCTTGGAACATATAGAAATATATGTTCCAGAATATACTTATATTTTGTCCTGTAGTTAAACCTATCTAAGATGTGTTATTTGTATTCTGACCAATGGGAAGGAAGAAAACTGCGCTCTTACAGTCCTCTCAAATTCTGAACAGTCTGCTGTATCATACATACTCATACCCATATATACACAGGTACTCACAATCATTCTTCCTATCTAAACAACTAACCTCCTTCTCCACCCAGATATGTTTGCTACACATTTATAATGTCTTCCTTTCTATTCATGTCCAAAACTGAATTATTTAGAAAAATTTTCACCACGACTCAGAAAGTGGGATTTTACTTACATGAAAAAGTAGGGAGTAAAACGATATAGGGTACAATTCCTGAACTTCTTACTTCTAAAGGAAAAAATAATCCCAATATATTTAGTAGACATTCCATAAATATATGTAGTACAAATGAAAGAAAGAAGGCATTCCTTGACACTAGAAATGTAAATATCCAAAGAACTAAAAACTTTAAAAATCCATTTACCCTAATTCCTACTCTTCTATTCTCCATTTTGTGCCCTGGTATTTGCACATATTAATATGTAAAAATGTAAGGAAGGCTTAAAAAGGAAATAATTATATTTTTAAACTAATTTCTGTAAATACAGCTATAATTTTAACAACATATTGAGTATAATAGCACAGTACCTAGTGCTAGAATGCTTTTTCTTTAAGGAAAACCAGGCTGGATGTAATTTAAGAATACAAAACACAGATCAACAGGTTGATAGAGTAATCATCCACTAAAGATGATGATGGAAGACTTGTTAAAGCCCTTTGAATGGGAAGCAAGTTAGGTCTTGCACATGATTTTTCTCAATGCCATAAACCAAAAACATGGAGATTTGTTGAAATCACATGAAAATTCAGCTCATGTGTAACCCCTTTGCTTTTTTATGTAATAATTTTTAAGAAATTTTGCTTTATCTATTTACTACTATTACTTCTATCTATTTTACTACTCTTTTGTTGCTTTACTTCTCATTGTGTTTAGCTTTAAATCAACTTTTGCTTTTAAAGTAACATAGGAGTAAGCTATGCACAAAAATAAATGATGCATAGGTAGCAAAATTATTAAATATTATGGTAATTCTCCTAAATAACTTAAATTCTTCTTCATTCTGTTCAAAATACCAATTCATTAGAGTAATAAACTAATATGGTGGCCTCTCAGCTAGCCCTTATGTACTGGGGTGATTTTCTATTCCCAACATGCATTTAAGAAAGTTTCTAAGAGAACTCAGAATTATTCTTATTTCAATTTAGATGTTTCCTCAGCAACCTGGGGCACCAGGCATGGCACCTGGCATGGCTAGCTTGAGCCTTGAGGTATGTATTACTAGAGTTTGTATATATAATATGATCCCTGATCATGGAGAAACATAATAAACTGTTTTTAGTTTTCCTAGTCAGAAGTCTGTGACTGTCATCCCGAGCAGTTCTAGGTACATTAGTGAGATTTATTAGAGCTTTATTCTATAATTCTGCAATTTTAAATTTGCAGGTGCTTTAAGCTTTCAAACATAATCTATATGTGAATAAAAGCAATAATTATAATTAATACCTTATATTATGTACACATTAATGTAATTATGACATTAATTAAAACACATTGCTCTATAGTCACAAATCGTTTATATTTAGTCATGCCACTTATAATATCTTACATAATAAAGTTTTCATGACAAAATTTATTTGTTCAAAAAAAATGCTAAAATCAGCATACTACAGGAAAACAGCCACATCAATATTTAATAGCAGCAAATTCATAATAGCTAAATTGTGGAGCCAGCCTAGATGCCCTTCAGTGGATGAATGTTTAAAAATAATGTGGCATATATACACAATGGAATTTTACTCAGCAATAAAAGAGAATGAAATCATGGCATTTGCAGGTAAATTGATGGCATTAGAGAAGATAATGCTAAGTGAAGTTAGCCAATCCCCCCCCAAAAAAATGTCGAATGTTTTCTCTGTTATAAGGAGGCTGATTCATAGTGGGGAAGGGAGGGGGAACATGGGAGGAATAGACGAACTCTAGATAGGGCAGAGGGGTGGGAGGGAAAAGGAGGGGCAGGGGGTTAGCAAGGATGGTGGAAAGTGATAGACATCATTATCCAAAGTACATGTATGAAGACACGAATTGGTGTCAACATACTTTATATATAACCAGAGATATGAAAAATTGTACTGTATATGAGTAGTAAGAATTGTAATGCATTTGCTGTCATTTATTTTTTATAAATAAATAAATAGCATTAGCATTGTACTATAATACCACCTGTATAGCCTGTATTTCCCTTACTGCAGTTCTCATAAATAATATATGGTCTGATTAGACAACCCCCGAAACATAGAAACTTCTGACCATACAATAAAACATTTACAGCTATAAACAGAAATTTAGGAGTTCATAACTACCACAGTTTCCACAAGGCATTGCAAAATTTCCTTCTTTCATAACAATCTGAGGTCAGCCAGTAGGTATATGGGCTAGACGTTTATCTCACATACAAGCTCATTTCTTTGAAATTTTCTTCTCACTTTCAAGTTAAACTCATTATAAAGTACTCTAAATCTTTTCCCATTAAAAAAGTAAAATTGACTTTTTGTTAATATAGTCACACTCTTGATAATCTATCCAGATGTTTCTTCCAATGTATTTTATACTTGTGTTTTTGAAGTCTTTTTTTCTCGGGAAAAAGTTGAAGATTGGTTTGCTTTGTTTGGTGTGTCTATTTTTCCAAATTGTTTTTCAAATTGAATGTGTTTAAGATAAAGTAATTTAAGTAGGGGGAAAGATTTAATGAAACAATATCCTCACAATTACACTTATATTTCAGTTGAATGAGCCATTTTTCTATGTTTAATGTGACACACACACACACTTAACTGACACTCTTCCTTCTTTAATTAATGATAAAAGCAAGCTCATTTTTTATTAGAATAACAATAATGGCAAATCCACACTTTCACATGTACATCTCTCAGTATGATTTGGGTCTACTCATTTTTTTATTCAAATTAACCCATCCCACACTTTATCTTGATAATGTTAAATATCATGAGAAATCAACTGGGTCAAAAGGCAGAAAATTATAGACATCATTATCCAAAGTACATGTACTAATGCGACAAACACTAATTTTATTTTATTTTTTACTTAATAGACAATGAGGCAGTTGGGAAGTCTCCAGGGATTGAATGCACTTTCTCAGGTAATCATATTTTCAAATATTTATAATTCAGAAATTAGTGGTGGTGATGATGGTGGTAGCAACAGCACCATACTTCAAAAAACTTGCTTATGAATAGATAATATCTTAAATACTGACAGAACAAATAAGTAATTGAGATTGCCAAAAACAAAATAAGGTGGGTGGCAGGGGAAAACAAACACAATATTGAATTTTCTTTAGTAAAAAAAAAATCCTGGGCTGGGGGTATAGCTTAGTGGTAGAGCATTTGCCTACCACATAAAAATAAATAAATAAATAAAAGTATTGTGTCCTATCTACAAGTTAAAAAAAAATAAATTCTTTCTTACATTATCAGTTTTATTATATAGCCCAAAACACATGTGCTTAAAAAGCTGAATCTTAAACAAATTTATAGCAATACTGCAATCTTACCCAGAATGAAATTTTTGTCTGTTGGAAGAGAGAATTTACATTAACCAATGTTATTTTTACTTTTTATTTGTATTCCATAAGATTGAAATGTAAGTATATTTGTTTTGCTTTTTCTCCATGTTTATAGTTTTCTAGATTTGGCTTTGGGAAATCACTTAACTCTTTGTGGTTGCATGGTCTCCTTCCACCACATTCCTCTCTCCCGTGGCTAAGACCAACAGAACATGAAACTCAACAGGTAAGCATGAGTTTGTTTGAAATTTCAAGCTTTAAAATCTTTCCCCACTTGTCTTCTTTAAGTTATGTTATATTAGAAATAAGAACTAGCAATTTACCATTAATTATTTCTAATACCAAATAAAATAAATCCTATAACAACTGTTATTAATTAGGCAATTTAAATTTTCAACCCATTTGCATATGTATTTCACATAGAAAGATAATGGCCTCCAAAATACAAAAGATCTGGGGCTTGGGTTGTGGCTCAGTGGCAGAGTGCTTGACTAGCACGTGTAAGATACTGGGTTCGATCCTCAGCACCACATAAAAATAAATAAAGGCATTGTGTCCATCTACAACTAAAAAAAAACTGAAAAAAATACAAAAGAGTGATGCTAAAATTATTAGCAAGGATAATAGATAGACAATCCTTGGAATTAAAAACAGATTATAGTTTGGACTATTTTCATTTTAAAAAATTATCTAAATATAATTCCCAAAGGCTAATTTCAAATGATGACAAACATCCTTGTTAAAACACAACAAACCCTATAGAAGTCAATAAATATATCAATCTGTTAATCATTATTTGTTGGGTGCCTAACATATATAAAGTTAATCAAACTGTGCTTTGGGATAAAAATAAATGCATTTTAGAATGACTCCAAGCTTATAACATTTCAAATGTTATGGGAGATAAGACAACATATTACAAGGTGCTAAATTGCATTGTAGAAATAATAAATAGCATGAGAGTTTACACATGTGCAATGGTTGAAGAGGCAAAACAGAGCCAATTATTATTAGACTTCCATGCCAGTTTGAGGAATTTGTTTTTTTTTTTAAATATTTTAAAGTTGTTGATGGACCTTTATTTTATTTATATGTGGTGCTGAGAATTGAACCCAGTGCCTTATGCGTGCCAGGCAAGCTTGCTACCACTGAACCACAACCCCAGCCCCAGTTTGAGGAATTTGTAACTGATCTACAAGCAATATGGAGCTACTCGGCACAAGTAATTTCTAAAAGAATCAAACAAACATGGTGGTTTTGACAGTATCTTTTAATTGCAGATGATCTTCCTCATCAGGAGCATTATACAACAGTCCACATTTAGTAGTCAATAAATTATGTTAATGGTGATTGTTTCTTCACTTGACTAATTTTTCCAAAATGAACTTCATGATGAAGGGATTTGATGTATATTTTATTTAATTAGGTCTTATCTTTTCATTAACTCACAATTTATTAAGTACCTACCATGTGCCAGACACTTGTTAGGAACTAGGTTAATATGTTAAATACAAGAGCTATAAAGATAAAATAAATTATTTTTTCTCAGTTACCAGGAGACCAAATATTTATGACAAATAATTATAATGCAGTGAAAGTAGTAAAATAAAAATACATGCAGGTAGTCATAGCACCCAGAGGAGGAAATGAATGATTCATTCCATTAGGAAGTTCAAGTAGCTTTCCATCTCCCAGAGCAATGTTTATCCCAAAGGAGGTAGAAGAAACAAACATACCCAAAATTTCTTCAAATAAAATCAGTTCTGCTTCCTATATAAATACTGCTTTAAGTCCCCTAACATTCCTTCCAAACAAAAACTACCCAAGTCTTTTGCTGTAGAAATTCTAGGCACCACATCCCTTCCTGACACTCTTTTCAAATTTTTCTACAGTATGAATATTCTTTGCCTGTGCATCCCCCACCTCTCCCATCACAGCCATCCCTGCAGCCTCAACAGTCAGGACTGAAACCTTTCCTCCAGCCCACTGCTGCAACCGCTATCCAGGCAACAGCCCAAAAGGGTGGTCCTCAACCTCCAATGCATCCAAGGCAGCTGCCCTTGCAGGATGGAGAACCGCCAGCAACTGAGCAACAGGTGGCACCAACAGAGAAACCACCAACATCTAAGGTAATTCTTTTCTCTATATTCACATCAGGATCACCTACTAACCTAATGAAAGAAAACTAATTAGCTAGCCAATTCTAAAACTCGTAGCCTTCAGAACTAACACACGAAAATATAAATGTTATTGATCAGCCTTTCATTTTGAGGACTATTTTTTAAGTAAAACATAAATATTCATTTGTACCCTTTACCACCAGAGATAAGACACATTCAAAAAATATTCTGTGCTTTTAAAACTTGGCTTCTTAGTTGCAAAAGGTGAAAGTTTTCATAGGATACAGGGCAGCCCAGAGAAGTCCAGGCAATCTACCATCATTTTTTCATTTGTTAGAAAGACAGAGGAGAGGATTAATCCTTCAGCATAACAAGTAGGATCTTATATTATCACCTCTCTGCAGAGATGAAAACCAAAAGTACAAAAGTACCTTTAGTAAAGTATCTTTTTTAATTGATTTATTTATTTTTGCATTACAATTCTTAATATGCCATTATAACATAATTTATCTTATCTTTGATAAAGTATCTTTAATAGAGAAAAAAACAATGGACAGAAAAAAGAAGATATACCATATAACTATTATGCTGGAGGTATTTAACATTCTCCCATGTCACCCTGCCTACAATCTAGAAAGATAGATTTACAACATAAAGGTCATATTATAAAATATATATATGATCATTCCTTTTAATATCTATAAAGATAGATATGATTATCCCTTTTAAGGACAAGATAGACTTTAAGAAATTACAGAATTTGGCCAGGATTATATAAAATCAAAGTGGCAGAGCCAGAATTCAAACCAACTATGTTCCAATTCCAAAATTCATTACTTTTTATTCTGCAAGATATAGCAAATTCTGGCCAGACACACACAATAAAATTTAAAGGAAAAGTGAATTTTAGATCTAGCAAATTGTCCTGCCAGGACACTTGAGTCACATTAGTAAAAGACAATTGTAAATTCTTGGGTCATCCCCTCAAAAGACTAAAAAAAATAAAAGAGAGAAACATACTTTAAATTGTTTTGTTGTAATCGTAAATAAGCGTCTGTTCAGTTTGTTTATTTTGACTGGTAACTTTAATCCTTATCTATGATATAGCTCCTGGTAATGGATTTTGCTGGTCCACAGGTTCCATCAGTAAGTATAGATTTCACTGAGATACTTTCCTAGGAAAAATATATCTGTATTTCAAAAAAAATTTAACGAAATTTTTAATTGTTCCATTTGTCCATAAATATGAAGTATTATGGGTTCTTTTGTTTCCTGAAACGTTAAGTACCAATTCTTCATAGTAATCCATCTGAAAATGTATTTCATATAACTCTTATATATTACTATAGTGGGACTTGCCTATGTAAATTATTTGTTTTATTTTTTACCACTTAAAGTTGTTCCATATAGCCCGTTTGATATCTCGGGGACCACTGCCACAAAACAAACCATCTGCAGTAAGTTTGTTTGTTTTTAAAATACAGCTTCTCTAAGTGTTTGCAATTTGATTTGAAAGTTCTTTCCTTGGAAAAAGCATTTTGTGATAACCATTTTATTTTGTGTAGCTTTATCCAGGAATGTTTTACACGTCTTATGGAGCAAATCAACTGGTAAGTTCATATTCTATTAAAAGTATATTTAATTAAATATCATCTTGAGGGCTAAAATTATAAAAATCCAGACCTCACACAAGATATTGCAAATAAATATTCTCTAAGTGCCTACATTATCAACTGAAATGGTAAGGAGGCACAGTTCCCTATTTGGATAATTCTGGCCAGACACAACAATTAGCATTAAGGAAAAGTGAATTTTAGATCTGACAAATTGGCTACATTTTTTCAAGAATGACTGGACTTTCTGCTCTGTCCCTGGATACTGCATTAATATTAAGCCTTAAGGAAATGCTAAATGACTTTTAACTTTGTTTTAGTAGATAAGAAGGTAATAAAAGGCAGCTGGTTCATAATATGATGCACTGTTTCTCTTTGAACAGAATGCTCCTACCAGACTTGGTATCATGAGTTCAGAAGAAATGGACGTGAGTAATGTCTTCTAACTCTTCTTGAAATAGTGACCAAGAAATAACAGTCATAGATGACTAGCTACAAAAGACACTAACCATGAAAGTAGTCAAAAGATCACAGGACTTAGATTTTTCTACTCTCAAACCAGAAGCTTGACTCTGAAATAGTATCAAAAGATTTCATAGCGTTTCCTATGGAGGAATTCCTATATTTTTAAATTTTTTCTTATAGTTGTAGAAGGACAGCATGCCTTTATTTCTTTAGTTTTTTATGCAGTGCTAAGGATCGAACCCAGTGCCTCACACATGCAAAGCAAGTGCTCTGCCACTGAGCTACAGCCCTCACCCAGGAATTCCTATATTTTTTAATGATAACCATTCTTGAGTATAGGGTTCTGCCTCATTCTTTGTGTATGATCAGAAAAGACACCTCTCCTGAAAGGGCATCAGCAATGAACTGCAAACACTTTTAAAAAAAAAAGATATGTGCAGTTCATACACAATCCCTTTCTTTCTAGGACCATTTAATCTCCTAAACACTCAATTCAATAGCAGCAAAAAATAATTCAGATCACAAAATTAAAAGATCAAAAAGGAAAAGAAAATTAGCCAAGTTTAAAATTTGATTATTATAAACTTTAAAGTGCCTAAGTCAAGGATAGTATATTCTTTTATTCACATCCACATATGAAGAGTACAGTTTAATATTTGAAATCAATAAACCCAGACATCTTAACATTTTTTTTCTCAGAAATTCCTGTTACATATGTTTACAAAGATAACAAAGCAAAAGTTCTATTAAATTAACAAGGTATTGTCAACTATATATACTATCAAATTAATAAATATACACAAATGCTATCACTAAAAGAAAACTCATAGCTCAACATTTTTCAGTGCCTTTTGTTTGCTATATGCATAGAAAGATACCATAAATAAGATAAATAAGATTCCTGCTTTTACAGAATGAATAGAAAAAATAAGCACAGTGCAGATAATGTGAAACTCCTAGGATAAGGAACTAGCACTGTCTTATTAAGGAAAGAAAGAAGAAGAAAGGAAATACAACTAACCCAGACCAAGGATTCCCACCAAGAGCTGAGACTCAGAACAGAGTCAGAGAAGGCAGAAGTAAAGAGTGTTGAATCTATATAACATGAACACAACTGGCTGCAAATTAAAAATTCAAATTAAGTGCTAATTACCATCTTATACTATCAATCAAGTTATTTATATTCTGACTCATTCCCAAGAGATTTTGTAGTGGCTTATGAAAAACACCCAATAAAAATAGCCAAAGAAAATTGAAGGTAGGATTTAAAGTGAGTCAAAACTGTAAGGAAATGAGAATACAAACATGAGTCACACATTGCTGATCACCACAAACATCCCAGATTACCTTGTAGTAAAGGTAGAAAAGAAACATGATAAGTTATGGAATTCTATTTTAGTTTCTTCAGACAAATCAAGCTTTTTTAAAAATTATACCTGGTTAGAGGAAAGGAGAGAAGGAAAGAAAAGGAGAAAAAGAAAGAAAAATTCTTACATGGGGCTTCATTCATTTGGGGAATACTTTGAAATGCCATTGACAAGATCTTCCAAAACATTCTTCAACAAACACAGTTATGGATTTCAGTTTTTGTTTGTTTTCTGATGGTTGTAGCCATTTCAGCTGTTTGTTGTTTTCTTAAAATTAAATTCAAACTAACTTTTTCTTTCTTCTGCCCTATGCCTGCTGCTCTCCTCACCCTCCAGCCAAGCATGGTAAGGAGACTCTATCTACCTTTCACCGAAGTTGCCTTCCCCCACTTAGATGTGTGCAGAATCCTTTCTATTATATTTTAAAGCTAGTTCAATGAGAAATACGTTTACACAAAGCTGTCAGCCAGTTCCCTGTTCTCTATCAATTTTTTCCTAAATTCTCAGAGAATATGATCAGGTATAATTGCGTGACATTGCTAATAGAATGTACTAACGGTTTCCTTGATAAATGTTGGATTTTCCAGGGAGGAAGAGGAGGCCCCATGGGCTATGGAGCCATGTTCCCAGGATTTGGAGGCCTGAGGCACAGCCTTAGGAGAATGTCTCCCAATCCAGCCATGGGTGGAGATTTTACTCTGGAATTTGACTCCCCAGCGGGAACAAAAGGTCCTGAGAAGGGAGAAGGAGAGGCACAAGCCTCCCCCGTGCAGGAGGCCAACCCAGCCAATCCAAAAAACCCAGCGCTCCTTTCACAGATAGCACCTGGTGCTCATGCAGGACTCCTTGCTTTCCCTAACGACAACATTCCCAACCTGGCAAGGGGCCCTGCAGGGCAGAGAAAGGGACCCCGTGGGGTCACTCCATCAGCTGCTGACCCACTGATGACCCCTGAATTAGCTGAGGTTTATGAAACCTATGGTGCTGATGTTACCACACCCCTGGATACAGGAGAAGCAACCATGGATACCACAATGACCCCAGACACTCAGCAAACATCAATGCCAGGAAACAAAGTCCACCAACCCCAGATGGTACATGATGCATGGCGTTTCCACGAGCCCTGAAAACCTTGAGATATCAACTACTTTCTGTATGCACAAGCTTCCCAGTTTTGTCCCCACAGTTTACCTTTTTGCTAAAACACTTAATACCTTCTACAGCAAAGGCATTAAACACGCTAAGCATGTATTAATAAATACAAGTGGCTAGAAATATTGTAGGTTCCCTTCTTGCTTTCATTCTCTTATTGAAATAAAATGTGTTGACTGTCTCTGTGATTTAGAAATACTACTAACAGCAAGTCTAAGAGTCTCAGCATTTGATAATCTTGTTTCTTAACTCTCTTCAGCATTATGGGATTTGTCCTACCAGCATGACACTATTATATCCAGGAAATGCAGCACTGCTTTCTTTTTTCTAAGCAAGAAGCACATAGTCTCAGAATTCAAAGCTGTTTCATTTAAACTTGATTAAATTGGAATGCGTAAAGAACCTCTCCCTGGTATTACTGGGTTTCATACATTGGATTTTAAATTCTTATTTTTAGAGTATCTTATTTAATCTAAAACAATTAGCCTATTTTAAATAAAGATTTTTTTCTCATTGAAAATATGAGGAATTGTATGCTTATTATTTACATATTTGAGTAGTTAAGAAAAGCATACTCATCCCTTACCTTTGCTAGTCATTAATTCATTTTATTCAATTCATTTATTTTTTTCAAAGTTTACTGAATATCTACCTAAGTCCTACACAGTGTGCAAGGCATCAGGCATACAGTCCCTTCCTTCAAAGATAACAAGGGGCATGATCGAAATGTAGATAGAGAATCACAATGTTAATTTAAAAAAACAACCACTCTAAGCCAAGATCAGCTACTTTACATATATTTTCTCACATCAATATTGCAAAATAGATACCCTCAACCCTATAGTACACATGAAAATTGCTATGAAAAGACCAAGCACAAAGTGCTCTTTGGAATCACAGAGAAGAGACACCTAATCCAGCATAAGTGGCATGGAAGACTAGGAGGAATCAGACAGGTATTCTCAGAACAGTATCAAAAACTGCAGAACAAAGTCTCCAAGAGAAAGAAAAACAAGAAAAGACATGGAATGAGTTCAATCCTATGAAATATAATATAGGAAAGGAGGTATAGAAAGTGACCCTTGCTTGTGACAAAGGTATGATATATGTATGTATGGAAAATATGCCTAAATTAAGAGACTATAAATCCAGATTTGGTTATCCCTGAAAATTAGCCTCCTATTCTACTCTCTCCACTTTCTACTAAGTTGCCCAACCCATTCTTAGATTCCATGGAACTCAGACTCTCCTCCATTCCCTGATGAAGACTTTAGGAATACAACCAAGGAAAAAGATCCCTGAGATGCTTCCCAACCTGGCATACTTCAGGAACCCTAGCAGGAGCATGTTGCCACAACTTATTGCCTTCCTCTTTTTAGGCAGGGCTCTGCTCTCCCCACGACTAGAGCTAGAAGAGAGATGCAGAAGACAAAAACTCAATTTACCTATCTTGGTGACTCCAGCAAAGGTGAAAAAGCAGGAGAATGACTTCCATAGTAGCCAACAGATACTCACTTAGACCCATTTTAGACTTCCAAACAGTGTCCAAAAAAAAACATGGTAAAAGATATACTGACAGATCTGTGTTCAAACCTAGACATCACACCTGAAAATCGATGAGCCTTTAGATGTGAAACTTAATGTGTGTGTGTGTGTGTGTGTGTGTGTGTGTGTGTGAGAGAGAGAGAGAGAGAGAGAGAGATTTCTACAGTGGGGCTACTATCTGGCTCACAGGGTTAATGTAAGAATAATATGAAATAAAGTACACAGATGAAATTACTGAATCATAACAGTGCCCTTCTTTTCCAGCTGATCCATTTCATAGCAAAAATGGATTATTCCCATAATCTAATGAATTTGTGTTTTTCCATGAACACTATACACATTGCCCTTTTGGTCCTTCTTTATAATTCATATCATGCATTTGTGAGACCACATATGCTGGCAAATGTTGTAATATCAAGGACCAAAGTTTGCTTCTGCTATTAGTAGGCTGGGAGCCTAACAGTGGTAAAAGCTAAATCAATTTTGGTGAGGAGTAGTATCATATAGAGCCCTTGAATGATCTCTCTTCCCAACACCACAGTCATTTCAAACACTAGCACATTGAACAGACAACAAGGTAGCCAGAGAAAGAGGCTAAATATCACTATCAGAGACATCTTAATTATTGAGCATTCCCTCTAGCAGACATTTTCATGAGAAAAAAAAATATCCTCATACGATGTCCCATCCTGAGAGGCCTATACAAATAGACTTTTTTCTGGACCCTCCTTACCACCAATCTTCCAATTTTATTCTTTCCAAATCCCTGGTGACTGATATGGAGTACCCTGCTTGAGTATAATTCTGTACCTCAGATCATCTCTCTTTCCACACAAAATTAAAAAACAAGATACACCATTTAAAGTTCTGCCCCTTGAGTACACTGACTTTGCACTTTCAGCTGATTCCACACTACCCAGGCAGAAATCCATGAGACAGGAACACACTCTTTCCTCTCCATAAACTGGTTGCAGGAAGGGTGGCCATATAAGTTATTCTCTACTGGGACATTTTTGACAATGAAAAGAAGTGTCATCAATGATTATGCTGGACAACAAGTATAAACTAGTACTACCTAAGACAAACCTATTATCTGGTTATTCTAGTCTCATGAAACTCCTGTGACACCTGAGTAGATTGAAGAAAAGTCATCAAAATTATAAATAATAAAAAATGTGGAAGTCTGAACAGTTGCTTCTGCAATTTAATGATGCCCTACAGACCAGGTGTCATATTTATCATTTCCACTGTTGTCATTTATGTTCATTTTTACTATGATTCAGTGAATCATATACCAACTAGTCCAAGATGGGTATGTCAGATGGAAAAATCACTTGACCTCCCATTGTCTCTATTCTATTAGAGTCTAATAAGAAAAAAAAAGCAAGAATTACTTTTCACAAAGAAAACCTTAAAGTTCTATGTTGTTATTCTCCTTTCATGGTTTGTCATAGATCCTATACTGCTACAGATACTTCTAACAAATTGGAGCCTTGTGGGCCATAATGCTCAAGTGATAGGAAAGCTTGGGCTGGATCTTTTTCATGCTTTACGTCCTACTCAAAATTGTCAGCCTTTCAAGTTATATAGTATGTGATATATGTTGTTTTCAAAACACAGAGAAATCCAAGAATCATTGCACGTCATTTTTTGTATAGGATAACATAAGAAACAACAACTTGCCAACAACTTCCACTCTCCCAGTATGCCTCAAACTACCCCTAGAAATGCCATCACAGTCCACAGACTTTTACAGTATTTATGTTCCACCCTATGACTTTTTACTCCATGTTAATCAAATCCTGTTGTATTAAGTCTTCAATGCCTGGACAGTCATGAATGTCCTCTGGAATGTAAAAATGATCAAGTACCCTCAGGACCATATTAGGACAAACTGCAGGATAGTTGATATAATCCTAAAGCAAAACATTAAAAACTGGTATTGTTTGTATACTTTACAATCAAACTGCTTCTGATTTTTATTGTGGATTGGAATTAGAAAAAAAAAGCATCTGCCAGATCAATAGATATATACAAATGCCATGGGCTACATTATTTGCTCCAAGAAGGTTACATCTGCAAATACATCTGCAACTGGCAACACTACCTGATTGAGTTTGAAATATTCCAATTTAACACCCCATAATCCATTTAGCTTTTTACCAGCCAAATAATGAGTTAAATGGGGAAGTGTTAGGACACATTTCACTGTATCTCTCAAGTCTTCCATGTTAACACTAATCTCCCCATTTCACCCATAGTACTTACTACATTGTTAGGAACAAAGAAGAAGGAGTATAGTTCCAGGGGCCTCCTTCCACTTGTCCCTTCCCACTACAGCTTTCATTCAACTGATGAAGGAATCACTGTGGAATCCTGCCAATTAGTAGGTACAACTATTCTTACCATACATTCTGGGACTAGGGAAATTACCACATGATAGATCCACTGTTAGATGAATAAGAACCAAATTTCCATCTCTAATATGACTTCTATAAGCATTAATTAATAAACTATAAAGGCTTTTAAATTCATAACCACTATCTAGTAACCCACAGAAAGCCTGGGTATTTTCCTTCCCCATCCCACCCTACACTGTATCCCTAGTAAATTTTTTCAGGACCCTCTAGAGAAAGTTTCAGGAAATTTGGTGATGCACATATATGGCCACATTACAAGGTCTTCCCTTATAGGGATCTGGTATCCCCCAGTTGAGGAACTCCAGATCTGAAAATTGAATAAGAGACTATGAATTCCACTATGATAATTTGAATTAGGTTCAGTGAACCTAGAATTTTTTTAAACTCAAACAGCACTGTAACGGATTGTTCATCCATTTTTTTCTAGAGTCCTGTGACCAACTAATGATCCAAACAGAACACTACTGGTCAAATATCCTGATTATCACTCCATCCTAGTTCAGAAAGAACTACTTTATGGGGACTAGTCACCTCTGCTGGGCCAAGAAGTTGGGGACATGTCCTCAGATGCCACATCTCTTCCTTGGCAATAGCCTCACTACCACCCAATTGGTAGATTCATGTGATCTTTTAATAATTGAATAATGTCAAAAAATGATCCAAAATTAAAAGTGACTTCTCTATCAAGCAGTAGAAAATTTTTCATACCACCATCCAGTAGCTGAATTCAGTTTGGGACAGAAGTAAAACAAGTGAAACAGAAAACTGAAGATAAGAAAATCTCACTTTGAAACTATCTTTCTCCTTGACTACTCCTCACCCCCTATCTTTCTACTTGTTCAAATTTTGCTCTGAATTTATAAATAGTGAAGACCAAAGAAATAGAACACACATTTAGGAGCTTTATACTGAAAAATTGCCTTGAAACCTGCTATTCTGTGGGGGTGAAAGTATCAAGTTTCTGTCTGATTCTTTTCTAAAACAAGATTTCTTATATCTTCATATTTTAA